ATCTGACCTTGAGTTATAGTGCCCCAAAGTAAACAAACTTCCAAATACACACAATATGATCAGAATTGAGTTAAAGTTATCATCAGGGGCTTAATTTCTGAAATTAAAAAGGAAATGTTATTTCCTTATGAAAAAGAAAAAAAAGAACCAAAAATAAACTACAAGGTAGCTATTTCTGTCTCTGTTAAGACTTAGGTAATGGAAAGAGAAAAGGGAGGACAGAGTTAGGGAAGGAGCAGTGTTTAGCAATTGTGGGTGCAATGCTCAGGTCTTTCTAGAACCCATTAGCAGAGATCCCTATTTCTCCCATTAACTGCTGTCCTTTTAAATCCAGGCACCAGCTCTGAGGACTGCAAGGTCCATAGCTAGTGCCCCTTACCAGGTGTTAAAGACGTCACTGCCCAGAAATGACAGGTTTTGTGGGTTTTTTTGTTTTTTTTTGTTTTTTCCTGAGGAAAGGGTACTTTCTGCCACTGAATATATAAATCGGTAAGCTTCAAAAAAGTGTTTTTGTCCTTTCTGTCTATCAGAAACTGTGTAAATCAAATTGCTGTAAAACCAAGGCCAAGAGACATCTATCCTGCATTCTATAACATCTGATTTTATCCTTTACTTTATCCCCAGGCACTTTTCAAAAGGAAAAAATGAGGTTGAATTTAAATGGAGTATTTAGGACATGCCAAGAAAACCTCCCACTAGACTAACATGATTGCAGGGAAAACAAGAGAAAGGAAAAGTGGCAAGGGAATGTGATAACAGACCCCGGGCACTCGTCAGCAGGGCCGTCCTGAACACAAGACGGCGGTCAGCCATCTGGTCCCATGAATGACGTTTTCCTTATGGTCATTAAGAACACCAGTGGGTCAGGACACAAACAAGTATTCCTGTCAGGGATTATGACACGTTTTCTCCCAAAGTAGTATATTAATGACATTTCCAGAGCATTCTTTACCCTCTTTTATATGTGATCAGGAAGTCTAATACACACTGCTACTTCTTTCACCCACAGCATTAGCCAAAACTAAGGTGTCAAATAAAATTTTGCCTAGGATGAATAAACAGAAGCAATGTTTATGATACTGTACTATCAATTCCAAATTAAATAACAAAATGATGTGTTTAAATTCATATTCATGATTATTCCCGCACAAGCCAGAAAAAAATCTAAGAAGAGTCTTTCATGAGTTAATCCCACTTTTCAAAGGGTTCAGTGGCTCCAAATTCAGTTACTGTTTCCTATCAGTTCTTCTTTCATTAAGTCTCTTCCCATTTTTTCTCTTTGCACTACCATTTCCCTTAGCCAGGTAACATAACCTGCTGTGCTTTATGCATTTGTGTCTTAAGTTTGCTTCCTGATAACATATCTTTCCAGCAATGCCATCTGGGGAGTTTGGGCAACTTCACCACGTTAGGAAGAAACCCCTGTTCCTTTGCTGCAGGGAAGCAATCGGGATTTGCCTGGGCTGTGGTTGCAGCTGGCTTTTAAGGATCTCCCTAAAATGCAAGCAACTTATCAATGAGAACTGATGCAATGGCTGTCACTGGGTAGAGTCATGCTATGTGGAGTCATAGCCTTTGATACAAATAACACTAAAAACAAGAATGTTATTAAAGGAATCACCCACAGAGGTTAACTAGGTTTTGTCCCCAGACCACCTCGAACAGGAAAGAACATCTTTATCATCATTTTCTTAGTTTTAGTTGCTATAACAAAGTACCATAGACCAGGTGGCTTATAAATAACAGAAATTTGTTTTTCACAGTTTTGGATACTGGAAGTCCACGATCAGGCTGCCAGGATAATCAGATACTAGTTAGGGTCCTCTTTGGGTTTCCAGACTGCCAACTTCTAGTTGCATTTTAATGTTGCAGAAAGAGATTGATACAGCTCTCTGGTCTCTTCTTATAAGGACACCAATCCCATTCATGAAGGCTTCGCCTACATAAACTAATTACTCTCCAAAGATCCCACCTCCAAATACTATCATGTTGGGAATTAGATTTCAAATACAAATTGTGGGGGGACACAAATGTTTAGTCCATAATAGTAATAATTATTCATTACACATAGGGCTCTAAATGTGCTAGAGTCTGGCAATTTTTACACTCACCTCTCTTTATTAGCTTGTCAAGCATAATTACAGCAGTGGCCTTACTGAAAATTATTGAATTTCATTTCCTTAGGACAGATGTTGAGGAGTTTTTTCTTCACTAAAAATTCATGTTCTGCTACAGCTTTCATCTGTTACTACTTTGTGAGATGGAAAATCTTTTATTTTACTTTTATGTTTGGATTGACTCTTCTTAGTAAAGTCAGCATGTAATATGCTTCATGTGCCTCTAATATGTGCTAATTTTGCAAAATATTTTGGATACCAGATTGCATTTCTCTTCCAAAAAAGGTACCAGCCTACAAAGCCTTGCTGTTATTGTTCTCAATTAGTTCATGGAATTAAATGTATTAAATCACCAAATGTTTTATCCTCTGGCAGATATAATGATTCTCACTGAACATCCATATGAATCTAGATCTGCCTGGGCCTTTATAGTGACACAATTTCATTAACCGAGTAAACAAATGATACAAAGAATTTTGGCTTAGCCTTGTAAAATTCCAAAGGTGTTCAATAAAATGTCTCAAAATGGGTGTTCCAGGACTTTTATGGCACAAGACAAAATGTATTTCCTATTTTAAGAAAATAAGCTAAATAGTGAGGAGATTCTTTTAGCAGAGCCTCAGGATGTGTTAGGTTGAATCACAGGCAAATGATATTTGATCTTTGCACCTGTTAACACATTGAATCTCATCCTAAAAAAGTAGAGCTAGAAGAAAGCCTTCTGGCAGTTTTAAAATAGATTGATTTATGTCAGTTTACTCAGAAGCTTCAGCGTTTCCACTGGCTACATGTGACTTTCGCCTCTGTGGGGCTATATCTTCATTTGCAAAATTGGTGGTGAGATATGTGGACAGTTAACTAAATAATCTCTTAGAATAATTCTAATATCTGTGGATCTAAAGCATCCAAGTGTTGAATATGTTTCTTTCTGGCCAAAAAAACTTGCACCTGTCAATAATGCCCAAACTCATCTTCTAAGAATGCTCTTTCCCAAGATACCCACTCTCCCCTGGGTTATATTATAGTAATGATTAGAAGTCCCTGCCAAGAGGCAACTGTTAACCTGTGAGGTCTATATTTTAGGCCACAGCCATCTGTTTATACTTTCTCACAAGTTAGTGCACAGTATATCTCTCGTTTTCTTCCATTTTCCTTAATTTATTAATTTTACTAATTGAATAATCAGCAAAAGTAAGAAAATTTCACCTCCTTACCCCCACCTGGTAGTTTGGCCTGATGGCAACTGACAGTGATGAGATATTCACCAAGCTTACCTGGGCAGGAGGCCTCCTAGAGGAAAAATGAGAAAATGAAATGGGAAAGGGGAGTGAAGGACTAAGGAGGTGACAATCTGGACTCCTGCAACTGTTTGGCAAGGTTGGCACCGAAGATGAGTTGCAAGGGAAGGAAGGAGATCCTTATCAGTTTAATCAGATCTCAGATCCAGGGCTTTGAGAAAGAAAGAGACAAAGAACTTAAAACAGAGGCTGCCATTTGACCCTGCAATCCCATTATTTGGTATATAATAAATCATTTTACTAAAAAGACACATGCATTAGTATGTTCATGGCAGCACTATTCACGACAGCTAAGACATGGAATCAAACTAGGTGCCCATCAGTGGTAGATTGGACAAAGAAAATGTGGTAAATATACAGCATGCAATACAACACGGCCATAAGAAAAAATAAAATCATGACCTTTGCTGCAACATGGATGCAGTTGGGACCCATAATCTTAAGTGAATTAACACAGAACAGAAAACCAAATACAGCCTGTTCTCATTTATAAGTGGGAGCTAAACACTGAACATGGGCAGAAACATGAGAACAATAAACACTGCAGACTAGCAGAGGGAGGAAGGAAAGAGGTTTGTAAAACTACTATCAGGTACTATGGTCAATCCCCAGGTGACGAGATCTGTACCCTAAACATCAGCATCGTATGATATTCCCATGTAAAAAGACTGCACATATACCCCTTGTATACAAAATAAAACTTGAAATTAAAAAAAAAAGGGGGGGGAGGCTGGGCATGGAGGCTCACACCTGCAATCCCAGCACTTTGGGTGGCTAAGGTAGGTGGATTGTTTGAGCTCAGGAATTCGAGATCAGCCTGAGCAACCTGGAGAAACTCTGTCTCTACAAAAAATACAAAAGTTAGCCAGGCATGGTAGAGCACACCTTAGTCCCAGCTACTAGGGCGGCTGAGAAGGGAAGATCACTTGAGCCAAGGAGGTGGAGGTTGCAGTGAGCTGAGATCACACCACTGCACTACAGCCTGGGTGAGCAACTCTGTCTGAGAGAGGGGTAAGAGGAGAGAGGGAGAGAGAGGGAAAAGAAGAAAAGAGGGACAGATAAGAAAATGCACTTGGAGATTAAGAGAAAGCAGCAACATAGGACCCTGGATAATGTATCTGCTTAATAACTATCCTGATGAGTTCTCTGACTATCCCCAAATGAGTACGTGGCAACTCAGGCTGAACCAATAGAGGAACCCTCTGGAATCTTATGTACAATAGATGTGCATGTGTATTTACTAGAATGAGCCTCTCTCTCTGGTAATCATGTCTGTTTCCACTAATTCCATCTGTTTCCTCTCTCTCCCTCCTATCCTGCTGGATCTTAATTCCTTTGACCTTCCCTTGTTTTTCTAACTCCCTTTCTTTCCCTTGTTATTTAACCTGCTATACTATGCAATTTATGTCCTCTGCAATAAGGAATATGCCCTTCAGAAGTCTGTGACATCTTGCATTCATTTATATTTAGTGAAAGAAGGCAAAGGAGTCTACCTGGCAATATTCACTCTACAGGAGGCTATAATTATTATTGAAATTAAAGAAAGCAGTAAAGGGAAATTCAGAAAAAAAAATGAAATATACTAATCTTCAGCTTTTCATTTCAGCCTACAAGGAAAAAATGAAGGAGCTGTCCATGCTGTCACTGATCTGCTCCTGCTTTTACCCAGAACCTCGCAACATCAACATCTATACTTATGATGGTGAGTTACCTACGATAGACCTGCCCCTGCCAGCTAGATCATTTGGAAAGCTTGATGTATGTTTGCTTCTCACAGCTCCCAATGTAATTAAATCAATATTTTGTAGATCTCACTGTTGACTTGCTGTGTCTACCTATTGTGTCCAATTGTCTATTGCTCAAAACGGTTTGAATTTGGTGATAATAACAACACATCAATGTCCGTTAAAGAAATGTGGATGGACTCTTATTAACAGCTACATCCAGCATATCAACACCCACAATATGCCTAAGGCCTTCCTTTGCAAATATTATAATAGGCTAAGCCATAACTAGAGCAGATCAAAATTTGTAAGAAAATGCTTTAAACTTAGAAAACTCAAGGGAAAGTATCAACAACCGTCACTGTTTTTGCTTTATTGTAGTCTTTATAAAGTTTCTGTATTTTGTACATACATGTCAAGAAGCTAAGGATAATAACAATAATAATTGACTCAACAAATAAAACTGGCTTACGACTGCGGCCCTAGATAAAGAGGGTCTGAAAAGAAAAGCCTAAAGAATTAGCATGACAATTAACATTATTGAAGTGCAACTCTTTAGGTTTGATTTATCCTGATTCATTTTGCTTACTTTGGCTCTGCCACAATTCACATGACCTTGGGCAAATAGATACGTAGATTCTCTGAGTCTCATTTAACTCTGGCATCTTCCTCCCGGGTTGTTGTGAGGTTTGAATGGTTTAATGTAAGTCAAATACTCAAAACCAAGCCTAGCTCATTATATCACTCTACAATGATAGCTATCATTATCAACGTCATCCTTACCTAATTCAGTCAATTTAACTAAAATAGTTCATACAGTTATATGTATCCTGGATATCCCTAAGGCATATTTTGCTACCTCTCAGACTCACTATTATTTTTCCTTTCCACATATGTAAACAAAGACATTAAAGACAAGACAAACACACTTTGTGGCAGTTAACCCGTTCTGTGCCTTTAAAACCTATTCGAGGACTCAAAGGCATTTTCCTTCTAACGTTATTCCATCATGGCACAAGCATCATAAATGCCAATTAACTGTTTCATAAGGCAATGTCCTCCATGTGAAAGGATTTGTGTTTCCAAACACAATACTCATTAGAATGCAGGGCCAATGCCTACTTTGTACAAATTCATTCAGTCAACAAATAAATTAGATCTTTATTATTTGCTAGATGTAGCTGTGATGAAGGATCCAGCAGCGTTTCTTATGAGACTCTAATGTTGAACTACGAATTGTCCCTAAGGATCCAGATTTCAATACGGCAGAGTCCTCACCTACAAAGAATTCAGGGCTTAGTAAGAGTCTTATGCAAATGACCAATAGAAAACAGAGTGGTTAGGACAAAGGAGGCAGGGATGGTTTTTGCTGGGTTAGGGATTGAAAAAAGGGGAAGAAAAAAATGTGAAGTTATGTGTGACCTGAGTCTTGAAATAAGCTGTTTTTATTTGCTTGTGCTCTCTTATAATCCTTTTCTATAGGCTTCCATGATGTTTATTAAGTTGTATTTAAAGTTGAAGTTGAATAGACAAATCAACACTGCTTGTAAACTGTGCTTCCTCAAAGAGTCCATAGAGAATCTCAAGTCTCTGAAGTCTTTAACTTGACCTGATATTTCTATGTTAGATAATAATGTGACTTGTTTATTGCAGGCAAACATTATAACAAGAAATTACTATTATTATTATCATTAATTATTTGTAAGCACTAAGTATTATGGTTTGTGCTTTGCATTCAGCATCCTTTATCTTTTAATCTTTACAGCCAACTTAGGAGGAAGGTACTCTTTTTACTTCCATCTTTTAAATGAGGAAATAAAAGCATAAAGAAGTTAATTAACTTACCCAGTGTCACACGGCTATTAAGAGATGCTCACTATTTGGATGCAAGTATAGGCCGTTCTAATTCCAGAGCCTCTAGCCTTAGCCATTTAAAACCCCATCACCTCATCAAATAAACTGTTTTTATTTGCCCGAGTTCTCTTATAATCCTTTGCCAAAGGCTAACAAAATGTTTATAGAATTGTATTTAAAATTTACGTATAATCTTGGATGCCATCAGGAAAATGAAAAACATTTTTACATTTATGAAGGAAAACCCCACATTATTTCCAGTGTACTTATTGCATTAGTTTTATCTAGACTATCTATTAGCAGCTAAGGATATGAGGTCAATCCCTCCAGCCTGGGATTTGACTTGACTACAGCCTCTAACCGGGCTGCTAAAAGAACATTAATGGGAACGTAACCTGCACATCAAGAGCCTGGAGACCTGGCTGGCTTGGTTGCCACAATTTTTAAAAGACAGTAATAAATTAGGGAGCACTTAGAGGTTAAGAAATAATATGGTGGTAGAGATGTAGAAACAGTGTTATTCTAGGGCACTTGAAGATGTTTTAGCCCAGGGGAGAAACTTGAAATGGAACCAAACTGTTTTAAAATACTTGAAAGATGGTGGTGCACCGCAGAGAATGGCCTAATCATGGGTAGCTTCGGATTTCAAACAAGGATCAGTGGGCTAAAACCAGAGAGACGGAGTTCAGGGCTCAAAGAATGCTCATCCGAAATCGAGGGCTGACCAACGAGGTTCTTTTAAAAATCATTACATTTTACTAAATTGTGAGTTCTAGCTATTATAAATATCCTAGCAGGTGCTAGCTATGATCTTTTCTATTATAAATTATACTATTTCATAGTATAATTTATATTCTGCAGGCCTAAAACATAAGGGCCTGATAATCTACTTATCTTTAATATGTAAGCCACTGATAGAAAAAAATGGCTAACCATTCTTCAGTTCTTTTGTTTAATTGGCAAATAAAAATTATATCTATCTGTGGTGTACAGCGTGTTTCAAAAGATATACATTAGGGAATGCCTAAGCCAAGCAAACTCACATATGCATTACCTCACACACCTATCATTTATCTGTGATGAGAACAAAAACTCCACTCTTTCAGTGATTTTCACGAACACAGTACATTGTTATTAACAATAGTAAGCATGTTGTACAATTACTCTTGCATTTATTCCTCCTGTTTAACTGAAATTTTGTATTCTTTGACCAACATCTCCCCAGTCTCCACCCCTAGCCCTTGATAACCACAATTCTACTCTGCTTCTGTGAGTTCAACTTTATGAATAGTCCACATGTAAGTGAGATCATGTGGTATTTGTCTTTCTGTGCCTGGTTTATTTCACTTAGCATAGTGTCCTCCAGGTTCACCCATGTTGTCAAAAATGACAGGATTTCCCCCAAGCTTTTTTAAGGCTGAATAGTATTATATGTGTATGTGTATACATTTTTTTTTTTTGAGATGGAGTCTCAATCTGTTGCCCAGGCTGGAGTGCAGGGGTGCTATCTCGGCTCACTGCAAACTCCACCTCACAAGTTCAAGTGATTCTCCTGACTCAGCCTCCTGAGTAGCTCGGACTACAGGCACATGCCACCATGCCCAGCTAATTTTTTGTATTTTTAGTAGAGACGGGGTTTCACTTTGTTAGCCAGGATGGTCTTCATTTCCTGACCATGTGATCTGCCCACCTTGACCTCCCAAAGTTCTGAGATTACAGGCGTGAGCCACCACGTCCAACTGCATGTGTGTAAATTCGATTAATAGATGTTGCTCCTCCCTCCTCCACCACAGTGGCTCTTTCCCAGCTCCAGCCGAGGTACACTAGAGGAGGATATTCTAAGCAGCAGCAACACGGAAGCAAAGACATTACAATGGGGTGTTGTCTTATTGCCCCCATTAGACTGTAAGCATCTTGAAGACAAGGACCCCCATCACAGAGTGATGCTGTCATCCCTGGAGTGGACACTGTGCATGACTGATGACTGGAAGCAATGAACATAAAGAAGGGCAAAACGGAAATCAGCAGGATGCTTTGCATATCAGCATTGACTTTGCCAAATATGTCCAACTGTTCGGGAGTTATATTGGTTCTACTGTAGCTCCTGTGATTCCTAAGCACAGGAATCGTGATAATATATATAATGGTGTATGTATATATATACATACCTATATAATGATATCTTATTATATGTGAGAACTAGAGAATTCTGTTATTTTTCTTATCTAACCAAAAAGTGCCTACAGCTATGATAATTTCCAAAAACATAAATCTGTGCTATTTGATTTTCATGCAAAGCTCCTATTTATTCAAAAGGAAAATAAAGCTTAATTTAAAATCAATTTAGGCTTGTTTTTGTAAGTATGCTTACCATTATTCAACTCCCTGTAGATATTGTCAAATTTCCCAATGTTATAAATATGTATTCTGTTAAAATATATCCAAAGTTATAATAAAGACAGAGAGGTCTTATACATTCAAAACAACATAGAGCAAATGCCCATAAACAGCATTTTATTCCTGTCTCCCAGAATTACAACACTACTTCCAAATGCTGGAATCCTAATTATTAAAATGAACCTATGCTGCAAGCTTTATATGCTTAACATTCTCAAATGTTCATTTTTCAGATATGGAAGTGAAGCAAATCAACAAACGTGCCTCTGGCCAGGCTTTTGAGCTGATCTTGAAGCCACCATCTCCTATCTCAGAAGCCCCACGAACTTTAGCTTCTCCAAAGAAGAAAGACCTGTCCCTGGAGGAGATCCAGAAGAAACTGGAGGCTGCCGAGGAAAGAAGAAAGGTAATTCTTTCCATAGGTTTTTCTTCTCTTTCTCCTTCTGCTCCTCCCTCTCATGCACACGAGCACACACACAGAGAACAATGACATCTGAACCTGCACCATCTCAACATGTATAGGTTTTCAGTAGACACAGAGCCAGGCTAGTTAGGGTAAAGCTTGCCTCAATTATGGTAAGATAAATGCTAATTTTAGGCTAGCCAAACCAGAGCTCTCAGAAACCCAAAGAGCTTCAATGCACTGGTGTCCCTTCCCCTATATTGAATCCCCTTATTATAAAATCTCCCTTCCCTAGTCCATCAAGCAGAAGCACCGTGTTAGAGAAAACACAGCCCTGGCAAACTCCAGTGGCGGGGAGGGGAAGGAATGCTGATTCCTCCCTCTGAGGATTTGTGTCAACCCCAGTGTCAGGTGTGGTTTTCCTTGGAATTATAAATTACCAGATCTTCCTTCCAAGATCTTTCCTGCCCAGGTGCAGTTCTCCCCAAGGGTAAGGGCCAAGAGCTTGCGCCTTTCCTCCTTAGAAGGTCCTTCCAACATCAGGACCTTCACTGAGATCTTTGAATATGTTCTTTATCTTTTTCTAAGCCTTGATGGGATTTTTTTCTCTTCTTGCCATTGGTCCCTGCTTGTATTAAAGAGCTTTCCTTTTGCCAAATCTTTGAATTTCTATAATCACATGCCTAAGAAGAGCCAAGGGTATTATTTGAGAACATTCAGAAATCCTAGGGACTCTGTACACAGACAGAAGTCATTTGAATGTGTCTGTTCCAACCATGTGGTTATGGTAGTTAATCCCATCAAGGTACTCTTGATCATCCAAAAATGAAATGCTTTCAGGTAATTCATCCCTACGTTGTATTTTCCATTACTTTTTAACGATATATTTTTAGAATTAGGTAGTCACTAAGAACATGTTCCCTGCACAATTTTATCATGTTGTCTATAAAAAGTCAGCCAACACTTTAGACACTTCTATGTTGGATAATTAAAAACAGAATGAAGATGGTCTTCTTAAAGATTGAATTCTCCAAGAGGGAATGTGGAACAAAACAAATATGCGTGTATAATATATATGCATTTATACACACATATATTTACACAAATATGTGTATTATCAAATAATGAGGCTCAAACATTAGAAACCCTTAAATTTTCTGAACAAGAAAATACCAACCTTTGTGGTTGAAAAGAATCCTCCTATGATATCTAACATACTGATCTCAATTTTCACCTAAGAGTGATGTTCTCCAAATGCCTGATGAGTATTTCATATATATATATAAATTTTTATATATATAATTACAATGGTAATTGGTATATAGAGATATCCATGTTATAGACATATTATATATAGCTACCTCTATATATTACATATACCAACCATAGATATAGACATAACAATGGTAATTGGTATATATGTGATGTGTGTATATGTATACCATAATTAATATTATTATATGTGCCATAATTATATATTAATATTGGTATATATATACCATAATTATATATAAATATTGGGGGTGTGTATATATACATATAATACTAGATATAATTGTTCTAGATTTAGAAAGCATGAACCTGAGCTACTAACTCAACTAAGGTAACTACAGGAAGTTGCTTTAAAACATTTTTATTGGTTTTTTGTTGTTATTTATAGCTTTATTCTCATAGTAAAGCTAAAATAAATTATTCAAAGTTATCAAAACTGCTGCAAACAGATATAAGCAATATCTAAAACAGTGGAGAGCATGTTGTACCCAAAGCAGTTTAAGTTCTGACCCAAGCATTGTCATCTTATAGGTAATAGGTGGAGATATTTCATAGGTTGACCTATATTGAGATGCTCTGACTTGATTAGAATACAGGCAGTGACTGAGGTGAAATTAAAACTCAGAAACCAAAATTTAACATCCTGATTTAGGATGTTGCTGGTGTTTCTAGGTAATACACTTAATTTGAAGGAAATTATTGAGGATAAAAAAAGAACTGAGATTATCAAAATTAACTAGGTGTTCCTATAAAACTCCCTGAGATTACTAATTAATGAATATGATAAAGCTCCTGCACCCTGACAGCAAGAAATTGTCAATGATTATACATTTAAACAATTGAATTGAACTAGAAACTGGCCACATGGCTAAAAGACATTTACAAATGTAATCATCCAGTATTACAATGCCCAGAAAAGAATATTCCTTGGAACCCTTTAAAAGCCATATTTCATCACCTTTCCAATTATTTGTTAAAATTTTTGTAATGCAAAAATCACCATATAGATTATGTCCTAGTGGTAGGGTTTTATTTTTGTCCTTTATTTTTTTATTTTTTTGTTAATGGCAGAATTTTAATTAAAAGAAAATACAACTAATTAAAGAAAGTGCCAACTTTAAAAAATCACTAATTGATTTTATTCTATTGGGTTATACTGACTTAATTAGCACTAATTTAAAGAACTATTAATTATCTTTAAAGAATTTAGCAAGTGCATATATCTCAGTAATTATCTTAGTAAGGACATGCCTATAACCAAAACCCAACTCAACTAGCTAAAACAGAGTGAATATGTGACCAAAAAGTCTAGGAGTGGCTACAGCATCAGGAACAGCTGGATCCAAGGATCACAGAATTATCAGAAAACGTTCTTTCAATGCCTGCCACGTCTTCCTGCATTTAAGTGGTTTCATTACCATGAAAGTTTAATTTCAGTAGTCAGTTCCAAATTATTTTTCTCACAACTTAGAGACTTCAGCCGAAACAGAGCTTCTTTTTCCCAATAGTTTAACAAAAGTCTTGAAATTGAGTCTCAGTGGCCTGACCTGGATCACATGCTCAACCCTGAATCAATCGTTGTGGCCAAAAGGATGTACTTTGATTTGCTAGCCTGAATCACATGCCCACCACTGACCTGCAAAGGAGTTTAGATAGGATCCCTGGGGTGAGAATTGTGGAGGGGTAGTTTCCCAGAAACAAATCGAGGTATTCTCACAAGAGGAAGAAGTAACATATCTTAAGTAAACAAATCTGTAGATGTCCACATTTTTTATCTACAAATGTTTGGTGTTACTGTAACAATCAGAATAATTATTTAGTCCATACACTATTCAATGTGTAACTCTCTCCTGTTGCCCTGCTGTGATTAATTTATTATCGATAGAATAAAAATTATCAGTCTAAGCAGCTCCATGAAACAGTACTGTCCGGCAGAAATATAATGTGAATCATGCCAGATAGGGTGGCTCACCACTATAATCCCAGCACTTTGGGATGCCAAGGCAGGTGGATGACCTAAGGTCAGGAGTTCAAGACCAGCCTAGCCAACATGGCAAAACCCCATCTCTACTAAAAATACAAAAATTAGCTGGGTATGGTGGTGGGCACCTGTAATCCCAGCTACTCAGGAGGCTGAGGCAAAAGAATCCCTTGAACCCAGAAGGCAGAGGTTGCAGTGAGCAGAGATGGTGCCATTGCACTCCAGCCTGGGTGACAGAGCAAGACTCCATCTCAAAAAAAAAAAGAAAGAAAGACATATAATGTGAGCCATATGTGTATTTTTAAATTTTCTAGAAGCCACATTTTTTAAAATAAAATAAATGTGAAATTAATTGTAATAAAATATTCTTTACCCAATATAGTCAAAACATTATTATTTCAATATGCATGTAATCAATATAGAAGTATTAATGAGCTGTTTCACATTCTTTTATTCATACTAAGCATTTGAAATCCAGTGTTTATTTTACATTTACCACTCACTTCAATTCATATTAAACATATTCCCAGTGCCTAGTAGCCAAAGGCAGCCAGTAACACAGACACAGATATTAAACCAAAAAATATCTAATGAACAATGGGGAAACTTTAGGCCTAAGTTTTTAAAACTGATAACAGATAACTATTCAGATTCAACTTTACTTTTATATATATATTCTTTAAAAATTACATCGATATAGGAACTCAGAAAGTTCAAAAGAAATTTCCATTCTATGATTTTAATCTCTACATTATCAGAACTAAGGCAAGTGTGAGGTTTAAGACATGCTTAAGTAACAGGACCTTCTAAATCTCACGCCCTCTTCTTTAGCTGCCTACTCTCAGTTTCTATGTCAACTCCTTACCATGGGGAGGGGACTTCTCTGAACCCAGGTTTCACTTCTTACTGTCTTTCACAGTAACGAGGTTTTCCTTTGTAGCACCTAGCACAATTAGTAAATAATTAGTATTTATTGACATTTTAGTATCTATATGAATATTTATTTTTTTAGCCCTGTATCTCCCACTAGATTATCAACTCCATGAAGATAGAACTTGTCTTTTGTTTATACTACTTGGCAAGTTAGTACTACAAAAATTTTTTCTTTCTTATTCAACTCCTACTAGTCATTGTCTGAGTACTACAAATGTTTTTAAGTGAATAGATAAATAATAACTTTCAGGGCCAAATGAGGAAGTGGCAATATATAGTTCATTTGGATTTTTTAATCCCATCTTCCCATCCTAAAACAATTATAGTCACTAAGTTTCCAAAGGATATCTGAAACTGTACTAAGGAATTCCTAGTCTAGGCAAAATCACTAAATCAACAGATATTTATCAAGCACTTACTATTTGGCAGGCCCTGTTCTAGGCACAGAGGAGACCCTCATCAACCTTACATTCCAGTGGGGAAGAAATAGCTAATAAATATATATGCAGTATATTAGATGATACAAAATATAGCAGGACAAAGAGAACCAGGGGAGTGGGGGGGAGAGAAGCTATAGTGTAATGTCATGTATTATTATTACTATATAATAATATAACTGTTGGATAATCAGAAAAAAACCTCTTGAATAAGAGAACATTTGAAAAGAAGCACAAAGGTAGAAAGGGAGTGAGGCAGGCAGCTCTTCTCTGGGTTCTATACATTCAAAGCAATGACAGTAGCAGGTACAAAGGCCCTGCTACTCTCATTACTTTGAATGTTTGAGAAATAACATGGAGGCCAGCGTGGCTGAAGCTGA